TGATTTTAGAGGATGAATAATCTTGTTCGTTTAAAACTAACGAATTTTCTGAAATTTTCTTGAATGGTTAGACTATTAAAATAGGTGGTAATAAATCTAACCGTTGTAATACAGTAGAGACACGACATTCGCGGCTTCAAATTACGCGGATTCGCATATTCGGGTTTTAAATTTTGTTACCTTTTTCAATATCCACGACTCGATTATTCGCGCATACATAGCAAGTACGTCCTTTTTTTTTGTTTATTTAAAACGAAGGGTTTACTGTACAAGCAACCAGCTTCACACGTGCGTTTCTCTGGGAATCCCTCATATGATCGATTTTAATGTTTGTGTTAGGTTAGGTGCTTATTTTTGTGTTCTGTATTTCATTCAGGTTAGTATTTCTCCTACTTTTTACACCATAATTTTATAAACAATTAATCTTATAACAGTACTCAAAATGACTAAAAAAAGACCTGCGACGGAAATAAATTTAATTGCCCAACGTGCAAAGTCAGTTATGTAACTCTAGAGAAAAAGAGTCAAGTTCTTGGTATGCTCCGGGAAGGGAAAAGAGCTACCGAAGTAGGTCGGATCTTTGGTGTCAATGAATTTACGATAAGATCTATAAAGAAACAAGATGATGTAATCAGAAATAGCGTAAAATGTAGCATACCTTCATCATTAAAAGTAACGTCACAAGTTCGTTTTATTATCTGTAATTGAAGATCCTTATAAGCCCAGTAGAGTAGTTGCTACAGAGAATGAAATTAACCAAAGTTCCGTACGCAAAATCCTTAAGAAAGAAAAATGGCATCCTTATAAAGTACAATTTGTTCAAGAATTGAACGAAAATGATCCCGATTGGAGAATGCAGTTTTGCGAGCCAATATTGGATNTTTCAGAACACTCTCGACTTAATTCTTGCTAATTTTTCTAATATATCTTCTATTTCATTAAGCACTCATCCTCTGATCCCTGAGGATAGTGCTCACAACACTTTAGAATTCGTTTGCTCGTTTGAAATGCCACACCGTCTTCCCACTGAATCTTCTAACGTATTTAACTTCAGACGTGCTAATTTCTCTGACATTGATTCGTATCTGTCTACTATTAACTGGGATACAGAGCTAAATACTCGTGAAGTAGACCCTGCTGTTGATTTCTTTTATTACCATTTAAATTTTGCCATTCAAAAATTTACTCCGATCAAGCGCAAATTCACTAGTGGTTTTCCGATGTGGTTTTCGCGAGATACTATCAGAGTGATCAGAGAAAAGCGAAGGGCTCATTTTAAGCGGAAGCGGTCCAAAAAAGGCGTTTAGAAGATGCTTATGAAATCACATGATCTATTAATATTATATACCACCGCATAGAGCAAAATATTTTCTCTTGATACTACATGGTCTCCGAATCTCTTCGGAAATGTTGCATAAATTTGGCAACATTGCCGAAGAGATTGGGCTCTGAGATATAATTAGAAAACCTATTTTTTAAATGAGACACTATTATATTTTTAAATTTTATACCTAGATATTTTTATTACCTAGGTTTGTAAATGTAATTGCTTAGAAATTACGATTCACAATTTTTATACCCTCAACAAATGAGACGGCTATGAAAGAAAAATAAATGACACGAAAACTTGTTTTTGCAACAAAAACCACTTTTGACAGACTGCTAGTGCGTATGAAAAGGCCTTTATTATGGTGCCTGGTAGTTGATGACTTGATGAACGCCCTAACAAAAAACAGATTCAAGATTCAGGGGTATACTGATGACCTGGTAATCATAATCCGAGGTAAATATGATACAATCATAACTCAACTAATGCAGAAAGTACTACTACTCACCAGTACTTGGTATCGAAGCAATGGGCTCAGCATCAATCCAAATAAAATCAAAATAGTTCCTTTCACTCGGAGAAGGAAGCTACAAATAAAAACACCCTCCATTGAAAGCAGAACTATTAACCTTAAAACAGAAGTTAAATACGTAGGGGTACTACCATACAGTAAACTAAACTGGAACTCACACTTAGATAAGGTCAGGAAAAAGGCCATCATGGCAAACCAGATCTGCCGCAGGCTCCTAGGAAGTAACTGGGGTCTCAAACCACGAATGGCTCATTGGGCCTACGGAGCAATAATTACACCCATGGTCGCCTATACCTCACTGGTTTGGTGGCCAAACACAAAACAACTCAGCACAACAACAGCTGGCACAAATCCAGCGGTTAGCATGTCTTAACATAACAGGTGCAATGTGATCCTGTTCGACGGCAGCTTTGGAAGCCCTACTCGGTCTCACACCGCTCCATTTATATATACAAATGGAGGCAGCTTCAAGTGCTGGTGCCAGTAATCATAGCGCCAATAATGAACAAATCCGCTAATAAACCGTCCAAAAAATCGACATCAGAACAAACAGTACTGTTTCTAGAAAGGTATGAACAATATCCTTGTTTGTGGAATCAGAAAATCCCACAATATAAGGACCGACTAGCAAGCTAAGGCCAAAATGAAGCTGTCAGAAGGATAGTTGAAATTATGAAGATCTTCTTGATCTTCATGGCATAATTCTCTAATTAAAGTACTAGACGCACCTAGGTTATTTTTACGTGCAATCCACGATCTAACCCAGTAACTATGTTTTCGTTTTTTTTTTTGTAATAACGTGTGCAGTTCCAAGGAGCATATTTGGACTACCACATTGATGAAGTACATCACTTGACGCCATTTTTATTACTGTGCCAGTACACAATTATAACATTTATGTGGAAACAACTTCTGGCGCCAGCTAATTGGCGCCACTAAACTGGCGTTGTACTGGCGCCAGTAATCCGTGCATGTGGAAACTTAGCTTTACTTGCAGTATATTTTTACTGCAAGTAGCTCAAGTCTGATTAAAAATTTCCTTTAGTGTTTTTTTATTTTAGTTTCATTGTGTTGTATTGTGTTTATTCAACTTATGATAACATGTATCTACTTTGTTTCTGTTTCACATTTATTGTTTATTCATGGTACTCTCATGGAATTCATTCATATATTTTTTTTGCTGTATGCAGTAATATATAATATTAATCGAGCACTTGATTACATGAGCATCTTAATGCAATTTTTGAATATTAATCGATCACTTGATTGTACAAACATCTAGTTCTTTTAAAACTACCAAAAATCTCATATATTTGGCATATTTAAATATTGTCGGTGTCATAACTTTCTAATATGATAATAATTTTTCATTTCTTACCTAATATGGAAAAATCTCCGACAACATGTATCGATAGGAAATATTCTGCTCCATGCGGTGGTACATAATATTAATTGACCACTTGATTGCTCAAGCATCTTGTTCCTCTAAAACTGCGAAAACCCCACGTAATAGCCGTATATAAACATTTACGACGTCATAACTTTCTTATATGATTCGGATAAAACTGCGAGACCGTGTAGTATCTATAGGATTTTTTTGCCCTATGTGATTGTATATAATATAAATTTATCGCAATATTATCTCCTAATTTACTTAATTTTTGAGTAATAATAAACAATTTTTATCCGAACATGTCAATTTCGAAATTTTTTAGTAGTATTTTTTTTGTTTATAACTAAAAATATGAAATAGTTGGATAGAAACCGTTTGTAATAGCATTTACGTCGATCGTTTTTAATTGTTGAGTTAAAATGCTTTTTAATAACAATAAATAATACATACAATTTTAATATTAATAATTATAATATCCCCAAACTTAATGACTAAGAAACTTATTGCACAAAACACTCAATTAGTATCTACTAACCAGATCAGAGATTCCGAATATATTCCTGTGCAATCAATCCAAACGTAAACAGTATTGATTTCGATGAAGCATACAACAGAGTTTGCAGAGCTACAATTCAATTTTCTCTTTCAAACAGAATGGTGGATGCGCCCCTGATTTACTTCCTCAAAAATAAGCCACAGTAAATAAAAGAATCGGGCAATAAATCGATTTGATTAAATAAACAACCAACAGTAACACAAATAATTCATAAACATTGTGCGTCGAATCGATTTCGTTTCAAAAATAGACTTTTTATCCTAATTTATGCGACTACTAGAAAAATGTGTTTAGAAACACCTGGTATGTTTCATAAATCGCCTTTTTTCCTCTAGTTTTGCGTGTTTTATTTTAGCTTCGGTGAAATAATGCTATGTTCTCTTGTATCCTATATTATAATAATATATGGGAATATGAAAGTGCTTACATTCTCGTTGTTTGTGCCCTGTAGGTTAGATATTAGATCGGTCAACACGATTTATTACATTCGCCGGAAAAGAAATTACTAAGAATAAATCGGAGTTGCTTTGAGCGATGTTTGATTTAAACCACCATTAATTTAATTTTAAAATGTTAGATTTAATTTCTTTTTCTTTGTATTTAAAAAAAACATATTTTTATTACTTTTTACGAATACATCTCATAAATTTTCCATATAATGTAACCCGACGTCAAAATATGACTTATGCTAATGGATTTTTCGTGTGTGCTCTGATTTTCCAGAAAAAAATCGCATTAGAGTCCAATAAGGTGAGCTTTGGATAATGAAGCTTTATTTAAAATAATGACTAAAATTCTTGTTATCGAAAAGAAGTTGACTCAAATATAAATATATATATAATTTGTGATGATGCCCGAAAATTTGCTTTCCCGTTCGTAATAAACCGATCTAATCCAACGATGGTCTTTGCGTTTTTTTATGATACGTTCATAAAACGGAATTTGTCGAGGAATAATCTTTACATAAACCGGCGATATCTCGATATTGGACTAGTAGAGTCTCTAAAAGCAAATGCTGAAAGTGTGAAAATCGTCTTTCAAGGTTGATAACCTTACATATAGTAAAAAGGAAAATAGAGGGTTTGGGTATTGTAATGTATTGTAATAGTAAAATATTATAAATTATAAACAATAAAACACTTATTCTTCTTCTTCACTTCTCTTTAATTTATTTAATATCTTTTTGTTTTAGGAACCCCATTTTGGTGTCTTTTGGATATAGTACCCATTAAAAATGAGAAACGAGAGGTCGTATTGTTTCTCGCTTCCCATAAAGATATCACAAATACGAAGATGGCTGAAATGTCTGAATGCGAATTGTATGATAGCGGTAAGTATAGAAAAACAAGTCCTTCCGAAATCGAAACGAGGAGTTTATTTTCCCCGGAAAATCCATTTGTGACCTCAGCAAAGTTCAAACGCCCTGCTTTCTAATCGATATCATCCGGTATCTAAAACACGAGATACCCTTTTATCGGTAACATGTCACGTCGTCTTCTAAACTAAACTAAAACGGGGTCGGTTTGTGTTTGGTTTATGAAATTATGTGTTACTGTACTATCTACGAACATCATCGCCACAGTTGTGAATACTAATTTCTGTAGACTAAGCAAATTTTCCGTTCAACTCCAGATTTGTTTACCTTTTCATTTTTTAATTTAATTAACTTTAATTAAAATGAAAACAATTAAAACAAAATATTTTTTAAGACTCCTTATATTATTAATACCTTATACAAATTTGGAAATTAGGAGAAACTGTTGTATATTGTGACAATATTTTATAAGATTATAAATAATATTTTACGTTAACATTGTTCAAGAAAAGCATACTGTTCAAAGGGAAATCAAAATTGAAAATTCGAAGAAAAAATATTAACGAAGAATAATCAAATTCATTTTAAAATGGGAATTATTTTCAAAATTGTGTGTTCTAACACTATTCCAAGCATGCGCCATTCGAATGGAATCCAACAAAGAAAATGCAAATTTTCCCCATCATCGACGACATTAAGATATCTTTACGGAAATGTGCTTTGAGACATCGAATTAAATACGTTGTAGTATCACTTTGATTCTTAGGTTGTACTATGGAGGTACAATTTGGAAGAAAAAAAATCAAGTTTGATATTTTTCAAATGTAAGAACTTTTCGTGAGCAGCATAAGTCCACTAAAAGTAAGATTTTTCTATGTTTTCGTATCAACTCATCATCCCACAACAAAAATTCTCTTGGAAAAAAGTTCAGCTGCTTTTCCAGAAATTTTACCGGTAACGATATTATGTCCTTTTTTTATTGCTGCTCTCGTTACAGCGACCTATAAGATCTATTGTATCTTTAGCCCTCCGAAAGTTTAGGGCAAATGTAGATTCGCAATGAACCTTAGTATTGCTCCAAGGTCTTCTTCCTTTATGTCGGTAGGTGTCAAAAGAGCTCTACCGAAAATTTTGTGTCTTAGACGGCCTTTGGCGACGCAATTACACAGTATATGTTCAGCCGTTTCTGATTTGACGTTGCAAAGTCGACAAGTTTGATCTTCAGCTTGTCCAATGTGGAAGAGGTGGTATTTTAGAGGCGCATGGCCGATCAGGTAACCTAAGAGCGTCCTTAGATCCTTTTTGCTGAGGCATAAAACCTTTTTGGTTCTGTTTTATCATACTCTTCGCTTGTCTGTGACCTGAAAAGTTCTATCCAGCGTAAGTCTACCTTTGAGGCCTCCCAACTGTTGATTATTTGTTTTAGGTAGCTATTTTTGTAGTCCACAACCGGGTTGGGGTCCAATGAAGGGTGTTTGCGCTGCCTCTCTGGCCAGCTTGTCATCCGCCTTCTCATTGCCTTTAATGTTTCTGTAACCAGCAACCCACCATAGAGTAATATCATTGCCCCTAGCGAGTTTTCTCAAGTTGTTGGTACACTCTCTGACCAGTGCGAAGTCACACGTGTAGGCCTGAATTGCCTTTAGGGCTGCCCGACTATCTATGAAAATGTTTATGGATGCACCTTTCTGTCCCTTTTGTAGGTTCAAAGCGGTGCAGAAGTTCATAGCAAGAACTTCTGCTTGAAAAATGGTTATGTCCGAACTGACGGGCAATTTAATGTTGCTATTTGATGCACTCATACTGTCTCTGAAGCATCGGTGTACCAGGCTACGGCTCCTCTTTTTAGTTGAGGTCCACCCTTCGTCCAATTATCCCTGGTTCTAAATATGACCTTATACGGCTGGTCGAAATTGTATTCTGTCGGTATAAGGTCCGTTTTAATTTCAATCAAGTAATTTAGACATGGGTGCTTGAGGATTTCGAGGTGTCCTCTGAGGGTACCCTGCATTAACTTAAGTGAAGAGCCTGTTTTCAGTGATAAGGCAATTAATTTGCTGTCTAGTATTACTCCTAGGTACTTAACTTCTGTTTTGAGGTTAATAGTTCTGCTTTCAATGGAGGATGCTCTCAATTGTAGCTTCCTTCTGGGAGTGAAAGGGACTATTTTGATTTTGTTTGGATTGATGTTGAGCCCATTGCTTCCGCACCAAGTGCTGATGAGTACTAGGGCTTTCTGCATTAGTTGTGTTATGGTTGTGTCATATTCACCTCGGATTGTGATTATCAGGTCATCAGCATACCCCTGAATCATGAATTCAATTTTTGTTAGTGTTCATCAAGTCGTCAACTACCACGCACCATAGGAAAGGTGAGAGCACTCTCCTTGGGGACATCCTCTTAGCGCCTTAATAGTCAACGACTCGCCTCTTAGACTGGCTGTGATCTGCCGACTTTTCAACATGGCTAGACACCCTTTGATTATCGACGGATGTATATCTTTTACGTTTAGAGCATTCTCTATGGATTCGTAGGAGGTATTATCAAAAGCACCCTCTAGGTCTATGAAAGCACATAGGGCTATCTCTTTGGTTGCAATTGTCTCCTGTAAAGTACTAGTTAAACCATGGAGAGCAGTAATTGTTGATTTTGCTTTCTGATAAGCATGTTGACTCGGATGGAGTGGATTAGTGGCAAGCACTCCATTCCTAAGGTATTGATTGCTAATTGGTCTGTATGCCTTGGGATCGGCGTTTGAATATTATGTCTTGCTTTAAGTGTTTCGAACCACCTGTAGTACATTGAAAATCTTACCCATCTAGTAATTTTCTAAGCTCTTCAGGTTTCGCCTTTAAATATGGAGCACACTTTGACACATTTAAATTGCTTTTAGCTTATTAGTTTAGCAATATTAGTTTTGACTGTACCAAATTTTGAAAAAAAAATCCTCTTTCGTATTCGGTAATAAAAATGATGTTTAGAACTTGTTTAAAAATGGCGGAAAAAATTTAAAATCTATACCAAAAAATTGTAAAGAAATTAAATCTTTAGATCCGTCTCAGCGATTTTTTCATAAACTGTTTTTAATTGTTTTAGCCAATTTATCCCTAACTTTTGGGAAGCACTGTATGTAGTGACACAACATAATTAGTTACAACACTATAATTACATATTCAGATTCTTTACACAAGAATAGGTTGTCTTTAATAAGAATTGTTGATACCTACAGCTTTTCGTTTCCTAGTCATTTTAATTTTCAATTTTTCAGGTCACAATTTCTGCAATACCAAGAGATGCCATTTATGCATACAGGCTTGAGAATTTGTTTGTATAAAAGAACTTTGTTATATATTTACAACGTGGGGTTGCGTTCAAGCTGCCAATACATTTTTTTTTTATTTAATTTTTTGTTTTTCTTTTTTTTTTTTTGTTGAAAGCGCAGTTTAACGTCTGGTATCTAATAAATATGGTTTTTGGATATTGTTTATGCTGACAAGGATATGTTGAACTCTTTTTTTTAATTAATATAGGCAGATTTAGCCGCATTTAACTTGATTCTCCATTGCTTGGTGCATTTTGAAAACTGTTATTTGTAGATTTATTTGCTTTATTAGAACTGTTATTTGCTGCTTCTTCGTGATCTTTGTCCACAAACATTATAGGGGTATCATTGACAAAAATGGCAATCATGCTCTAATTCAGGAATATTACTGATATGTAATAGGTAGAAGTTCAGAGATTTCAGCAATTATGAAAACCGAATAGGTAAGAGCTTGCTTAATTTGTAGTGACGTCCCTCATGTCACACTCTATCAAAAGCTACATCTAGGAACACAGTGGAGCAAATTTTTCTTTCTTCCAGTGGCTTTTCAATTATATCTGTGATCCTGTACATCTGTGAAATAGTTAAATGAGTCTCTATGAAGTCAATCCGATGATCCGGGATTTTATTTTCTCGAACAGGTTCGAAATTACAGTTTTGGTGGTTTTACGAGTTTAAGAATCAATAGCATTTCTGCTGTTTTCATACATTAGGCATATAATTCAATCTATAAGATGCATGAGTTTTACAATTTCTTTGTAAAATTTCTTCCGTAATTAAGTTTAACCCAAAAACGGCTTTCGGATTAATGTTTTCTTTAATTTCTGTTACTATTTCTTTTAGAGCAACGGGCCTGATTTCTACTTTCTCCTGAGTAAGATTATCCCAGTGCAGAATATCACCCTCATTCGTCTGGACAGTTCCTTTAAGATATTCGGCATACCTGTTGGGTTAGGTTGGGTTGGGCTTTATTACTTTTTGTCCACGTACTACTGCGTTTTTAATTAATAGATTTTCCTGCATTGATCTTGCTAGCCTCTTAGTAGCTTTCCGGGGTGAATGATCAGTTTTACAATCATACGACAATTTGCTCGGGTAGTGACTGACGTCTTTAATTCTTTGAATTTCTTTAGTTGCTTCTTATTATAGTTTTATCGGGTGGTGATTTAGATTGATGCCATTTTCTTCTCAGTTTGTTTTTTTTTTTCAGAAATAAAGGCTCTAATTTCTCTGGGCTACTTGTTCCGTTTAATTTTTGAAATAATGTCTGGAGTATTACCCAGTGCAGATTTTTGGATAGCTGTAAGAAATCATTCCTCATCATAATCTGGCTGTTTTAGCAGCATTTTTTAGCAGCAAGTTTTATTTCGTAGCTTCTCCAATCTGTCAGTTTATTTACCAATCTAGACGCTAATGCTATTTGTATAATGCTGTCGCTGAGCGTGAGTAAGATGGGCGAAAGACTGAGTTTGATCCAGTAACTCCGACTTCCAGAAACTTAGCACACAGCTTTTCTATTTTATTAATTATATTATTGTGTTAGTTACATTATTAATGTGTTGCAATGCTTTCAGGTCTTAGATATCAGTCAGTAGAGCTTACAATGTAATTTTAAAATATTACTTCTGTAATATATGTATTGCGATTGAAATTCTGTGTCTGAATGGTTATCATCATTATAAATCTTTATATTATATTGTGTGTCCTTGTAATTGAAGTAAATCTCAATTTAAAGTGCCATTTTCTATGTGCTTTGACATTTCTTACTCGATACAATGATCAAGGAGATGAATTTTTAAGTAAATATGTGATCGGTGATGAATCTTGGGTTTGTTATGTCACTCCAGAATCAAAACAACAGTCGATGGAGTGGAAAAAACAAAAATTTAAGACAACTTTGTCGTGAAGAGGGTATAGAAAAGTTGGTTTTCCGCTACGACAAATGTCTAAACAATAGTGGCAACTAAGTAGAAAAATTGTTTAAGACATGCTCTTACATGTAAAAATAAATTTTGTTTGAAAAAATGTTTTTGTTTTTTTTTTTAAAACGTTACTTATTTTCCGGACACGCCTCGTACTAAATACATTTTACCCTTAAATTGTTCTAGGTCATATCCCACTGTTATCTCATTGAGATAAGCACAGATTTTTCATATATCATAAATAACAAAGTCGAAAACTAGTTGCAGTATTCAACAGTTTCTCCTAAAACAAGTTTCTTTTGCTTATAGCTCTTTAGATAAAACTAACACTTTAATTTTCACCAGACGGTAATCAATAAATTACGTTCCCTTTGACCACCGTAAAGCGTTTATTCAAACTTCTCGAGTTTATAGCCACAAATATTAACATGATCAGCAATTAACTAACTACTGGTACGATAAAGTTTTAATGAAATCGTTGAACTGCGTCTAAACTTAACAAAATTGCTTTCTGGAAACTGTTAATTATCCGGTGAAACATTTTATAACTCCACTTTTTTTCTAAAACTTATTTTATATAACACACTTTTAAAAAATAACAATATATACATATATTTGTTATTGTTTAAATTTGCTTTTTTACTAACAAAATTAATTTTTCAAAATTTCATGCTTTCTAATCGAATAAAATTAACGTTTCTCTTCTATACGTTTCTTGTGAAGTTAATGTTTGTGTGCAGCGGCGGTTCTTGGTGCCAGGTTCCGTGGTGCTGACTCTTGCCTCCTTGCAGACGCTAATGGCAATCTCGATCCAGAGGCACCGCCAGCGAATTATGGCAGAAGGAGGTCCAGAGCGGTGTTGTATCAACTTTCTGGACACTACAAACAGGACAAAATCAAAACGAAACTTAAACTCAACAACGTAAGCAAAACAAATTAAGTTATCGTTTTATTTATGAAGATGAGATGGATTTAATTGAGATAATTTAATTTTAACTAATCTTATTTAGAAATCGAGTCATATTGTTTCATATAATAATTGTGGACCAGTATATATTTAGATACCAATGTATTAATAGGTTGTGTTTATTTAGTGAGTATTTTTCGATTTTTAAATGAAGGTAAGAATTACTTAAAATAAATACACCGTAAATTTATAAACTGTAGCAATCCCTAGAGACTTGTAACTTAATTTTGAACCCTCGTAAATTATAAATAATTCAGTGGAATTTACTACGTAAGCAGGGTAGAAAATTCGCTACCAATATAATCTAAAATTAGGGTCTTTATAATACCCGTTGAAGAAATTAATCTCGTGTTTACAGATTCTGGCGCAATTTAAAGGGGGTATTAAACCTATACTTTAGCGTAAATATATAGTGTACCTTGATGATAAAAAAGATGCCAGATCAACGTGAAATAATAATGCTCCTTCGTTGCGGAATTACCGGTAGGTTTTGCATAGTATTAAAATATACAGTACAGGATGAAATGCTTAATAATGGATTTTCAGTGAGTAAGAAAACCTTTCCGGAAAACCCGGACTTGAGCCTCAGCTATCGCGGGGAAGGCATTACGAATAATTAAAGCTTACAGTGCTTTTATGTACTATGTATCTCAAAAAGGAGTTTTTCATGTTATTATGATTTTTTGAGATGTATGGATGTAAAAAACCGTTTAAACAGTAAACCTCAAACAATCTCTTGTAACTTCAAAGAGGTTTTATTTTCCGAGTTCAATTCATTTCAGAGAACCAATATTTTTCTTTAACCTTATTTTCAAAAAACGTCAAATTGAAATCAATGATTTCTAAACATTTTATAGAAAAAACTCTTCATCCAAGAAACTTTAAATTTTGGTATAATCTAATCTCAAACATTTTTCTGTAACCCCAAACTGTAAAATTTCTCAATTCCAAATTATTTTATAATATACTAGGTGAGTTATTAGTATCCCGGTCGACGATAGTTACTAAATCATTTGAGATAGAAAAAAAAATTTTATACAAAAGTTGTTGGACTCATCACTTTCTATAACGTAAAATTAGTCTCATTTGTATTGAGGTTTTGATTATCTATTTACCAAAACATCAACAAATTATTGCTGTCAAAATTAGTATCAATATTTATTTAGCTCTTGACAATGAGTTATAATTACAGCAAAGAAGAATCAATTCACATGATCTACATCTATGGCGAAGTCGACAGAAATGCGACTGCAATTTGAAGAAACAGGTAATATTTCTTAGCAGCACAAAAGTAGAACTAAAACGACGACCAATGAAGAAAAGGAATTTCTGGTATTGGCAAGTATTATAGAGTGCACTACTACTAGAAAAACTAAAAATAATCTACGACTAAGCCAATCATCAGTGTCTAAAATAATAAAAAGACACAGATATCATCCGTATCATGTCCATCCTGTTCAGGAAATAAGCAAAAATGATTTTCAGACGAGATTACGTTTTTGTAATAGGGTCTTTGCATAAATTCAACAAGATGCAAATTATTTCGATTTTGTGCTTTTTACGGATGAAGCAACATTTCATAAAAATGGCTGTGTTAACAATCACAATTTCCATTATTATGCAACGAAAAATCCTCGTATTATTAGACGCCTAGACCACCAACACAGATTGTCTATCAATGTATGGACAGGAATAGTAGATAAGCATTTACTCGGACCTTATTTTTTTGAAGATTCAGTAAATGGAGAGACATACTTAAATTTTCTTACTAACCATGTAGAAAAATATTTGAACTATGAACTGCTGATTTATGCACGGAATGTGAGACGATATTTAGATACTTAATATCACAACAGATGGATTGGAAGAGGAGGTCCTACATTATAGCCACTACAATAAGAGGCACATATTAAAAAATACCTCAAGATCTTTTATACAGCGCATTAATGCTTGCAGAAGAGAAAATGGGCGTTAACCCACATTAGTAGTGATTAAAATCCGTGTTGAGTATCAGCTAAATTCAAACAACGACCCATAGCAACAATCTTAATGTTGCTTGTTGAACACAGCTTGAACCAAAGAAGGTTATTTATTACCCTTATTGCGTAGAAAGTTGTTTGGGTTAACAACTCAAGTTGTTGTTGAGTGATCAGGCTTGATTGTTTCTATATTTGTCATATTTTGTTCTGACATCTGTCTAGAATAATAAACAATTCATAAAAATCGTAATTAAAAACGTGTTTAAATAGAATCAAAAACCAGTCTTTAGACTAAACATGTCCAAAACATTGGTCCTTCAAGCCGGATGTAGAAGATCATCTTCAGCAGCTTCATATAAAACTTAACGGGGCATTCCAGTACAAAACCCACATGTTCGGCCTATTCGTGTAAAGTTATCCAATCGGGATTCCATTAAAATTGCGTTTCGTAATATGCGTAACTTGAAATCCCATGATACATTCAGAAGCATCTCTATATTTAATGATCGTACGCCTTTTCAACAGAGTCTCTATAGGAAGGTTCAAACGGACCTGAAATCGAGAACTGATGCAGGGGAAATTCGATGGTGCTGATATTCGTCCGTGGTATTCCCTCGATTGCCACTGCTTCGGAAAACTAATCTTGCCCAACAAAGTGTCCTATAGTATCAGTGTGTATTATCAAAATATTAACGGTCTTCGTACAAAATTGTATAACTTTTATGTTAATTGTTCTGATTATCAGTATGATGTGGTTGTACTGTCTGAAACTGGTTTAAACTCTACGGTTGCCTCTAGTGAATTGTTTTTGGATGGTTTTGGACGCTATAGAGGGCAGGTGTTCTGATTGCTTTATGTAGTCGCTTTGCAGTGGAAGTCGTCGACGTCTCGGACATCCGGTCCTTAGTCCCACTCGTTGATGTGTTGATTTGTTAGGCCATTTACGTCGTAGCTTTGTATATCCCTCCTGATACCACAAAACCTGATTTTATTTCTTTCTTGGATGTTTTAGAACATAGTTTATTGAATTTACCTGATTATGATAAGAGTCCTGGTACTACTGTCGATGATGGGAAAACACAAGCTTTTCGAAGTGTCTATGATTTTCGAAACCTGTGTCAACTGAATTATGTGCTGAACTGCGACGGGAGATTGTTGGATTTAGTTTTAACCAATACTGAACATCAGTTCGAGCTCGTTCGTGACCTGCCTCTTGTATCTGAAGATTTGTATCATCCCGCCTTAAATATTACCGTAAACTTACTCGCACCAAATAACAAACAATCAATTTTTCCAGCTTATGGCAGTCGTTGTGATTTTCGCAGAGCCAACTTTCATGGCTTACATGGTGATTTCCTTGAAACAAATTGGTCTTTTCTTGATCAGTGCGGAGATGTTTATGATGCTGTGCGGTTATTTTACATGAAGATCCATGAACTATTGGATCAGTCTGTTCCAAAAAGAGCGTATCATACTTCTAAATACCCTATTTGGTACAATCCTGAAATTGTACCAAAATATATAGAAAAAAGTGGAAGAGAACTAAATGTGATTTTTATCATAAGGAGTTTGGAAGATTGACATACTTGACTAAGCAAAAGATCTTTGATTCATACATAGCCTTTACAAGTAATGCTGAGCAGTCACTGCGCTCTGATCTTCGTAGCTTCTAGGATTATATAAGGCATAAAACTATGACTACAGGACTCCCTGGTGAAATGGTTTTGGACGGGTACATCTACGATACTCCCTATAATATAGTTAATGCTTTTGACGATTACTTTTCGGGAGTTTTTGCTGGTGACTCTACCTACAAGTTGGTTGATTCGCACTCTCATCTATCATTTTAAAGATTATCACTGTGGATCAGGTTCTTGATCTTCTTAAGAAGTTGCCGAACAAATTTACGGCTGGTGATGGTAACCTTCCAGCATTTTTTATTTGTGACTGTAGCGCAATTTTTGCTGCCCCACTTTGCGTGATCATGAACTTGTGTCTAAAGACAGGTCAGTTTCCTAAGATCTGGAAGCGATCATGGATAATTCCCGTTTTCAAGCGTGGAACCCATCACCATAATATCTAACTTCGCTAAAGTATTTAAGCAAATCATCTATGGAGCTATTTTCCCGCAAGTTCAATCGTTTGTATCGCCGCGTCAGCATGGGTTTATTAAGCGCCGTTCAGCGGTTACTAATCTTGCGATGATTACAAAAGTAATTTGTGAATTCCTGGATAGGAGTGGTCAAGTGGATGTAGTTTCCTTTTTTAAGGCGTTTGACGCGATCCATCACGATCTTCTCCTCCAGAAGCTCAGTATGTTTGGCTCTTCCCTGGTCTTATGAGTCTTGTTTCATCGTATTTATCAAAACGGACCAGTTATGTATTTTATGCTTCGGTGGAGTTTATTATACGATCTGGTGTCCCAGAGGACTCTAACTTGGGTCCACTACTGTTCGTAATATTTATTAATGACTTATTAAAAAGATTTAAGTCTGGTGTCATGGCCTATGCTGATGATCTTAAGATATTTCGCCGTATGACCTCGAATGATGAAGTGGCTTCGATGCAGTCAGATCTTGATATCTTGGTGGAATGGTACGATTGTAATCACCTCAGGATTAATGTGGAGAAGTGTAATGCTATCACTTTTACACGTAGAACTACTCCTATCCCTTCATCCTACTGTATAGGTGGGATCTCCCTGCTTAAGTTGACTTCTATCACAGATCTTGGAGTAACTTTTGATAGCAGACTATCGTTTATACCGCACATAGAGGATGTCGCTTCCTGTGCTGCTAGGATGCTTGGCTTTGTGTTCCGTACTTCACGTTTATTCACGGATTCTGCAGTATATATATTGATCAACGCATTATATCTCGCATCGTCTTCTATTGAAGAGAATTCAAAAAAGTACCTTACGCGTGGATGGAGCTTATCCTGTTCGTGGCACTGACTTGTTTTCGCTTGACACTCAAG